CTATGAGGCGCCCACCATGGTGCGATGCGACCGCGGGCTGCAGATGCTGCTGACCACGGCTGGAGCCTTCGCCGCCTTCTCGCTCATGGCCATCGCCATCGGCACCGACTACTGGCTCTACTCCAGCGCGCACATCTGCAACGGCACCAACCTGACCATGGACGACGGGCCCCAGCCCCGCCGCGCCCGCGGCGACCTCACCCACTCGGGGCTGTGGCGCGTGTGCTGTATCGAAGGTACGGCCGGCCCGGACCCCCGCGCGCACACACGCACGCACACACACAGTGCCCGGGGCTCGGGCCAGGGAGGGGTGGGCGCGGCGTCGGCTCCGCTCGAGACACAAAGGAGCAGGTGCGGCGGGCGGGTCCCCATGCGGCCAGCTGTGCATGAGCTCCGAGTCCCTCCCGGCCCATGGGCCCCCAACACACTGATCCCACAAACTCTCCACTCGCACACGCACACCCCCTCGTAACGGACACAATGAAACACACAGAAACTCACGCGCGCGCGTGCGCGCGCAGCCAGGACCGGAGCGATCCCAAGGGGCAGCTCTGGTGCCCCGGGGGAGGTGGAGGCTGGAGAGGGGGTGGGAGGAGGCTGGGTGGGGGGGAACGGGAGGCGAGGAGGGGAGGGAGGAGGGAGAGGGGTTGCTTGGCAACCGGTGTCTGTGCGATTGCTATGGGAACTGGCCATCCTGGGCGGGGCTGGCCGGGGGCGGGGAGCCGGGGCCGCCTGCCGAGCGCTCCAGCCCCAGGCCCCGAATAGCGGTGGGGGTGGACCCCTGTAAATCTAGGGGAGCCAGGTCGCCAAGAGACCAATGCTGCTGACCATGCTCCGCCTCTGCCCCTTCCACCTAGCCACCGGCCCGCCTCCCCCAGCTCAGGGGAGGGGAAGGGGCGACAGCAAGTCTCCCCCCCTTTGCCCTAGATTATAACAGGGAACCTTGAGTCCCAGACCCTCAACCGAGAGGTCGCCTGAGACAGGTCAGGAGACAGGGTGCGCGGCGAGCTGGAGCGGCCTGAGAGGGGCGTGGTCGCCCGTCGGGGTAGCGGGGGCCCGGCGCTGCGACCCCTACATATGAACGATGAGGACCAAGAGTGGACGTTGTGAGGGTGGACTGCCCGAGGTCCGGGGTTGAGTACTTCCCGGAGGTTGTGAGAGGGCCCCTCCGCGAAGGGCCCAGGTGCTTCCCACGCGGAAAGGCGCCAGCCCGTCCAGCTGCGGAACTTGAACTAACAGGTGGCCGCGGAGGGGCCCTCTGGTCCGGCCCACGCGGCAGGCAGGTCCGATGCTTACTCTTATCTTTCGGATCGGGGCAGGGATGTTGGTGGAGTGTTCTTTGATTTTTTATTTTTTTTTTAAATAATCCCTGGACAGAGTTGCCTCATCACTCTCTGGAACCTTTCTCTGCGCGTTAACTCCGCCCCTCGGTTGTTAAAGCAAGTTCTTCCCTACAGCTAACCTTCCTTATTGCGTTACTGCGGCTACAGCCGCCTGCGGAGAGTTGAGCGCGGCTGGATCCCAGCAGAGGTTGGGGAGGGAGCTCTGATGAAGATGGCCTTTTGCTGGCCGCATCTGGAGACGGCTAAAAAGAGGCTTTATACAGCCGAGGTGGCTTGTTGGAGGCCCAAATTGCCCTCTCTCTGGTCCCCCCTCAGACCGTGTGTGTTTGTTCCTCCCTGGAATCCTGCCCACCCCTGGCCCCCACATCCTCTTGCAAAGGAGATTGGCTTGCCCTTTGCAATTCGGAGCTTAATACCAGGGCTAAGTGGAGTCTTCGAGTCACGCAAATGTGCAGTCAATAGTTTGCGAAATACAGCAACACAAAGGAGCCGGGGCCCACCCCTCCCCAGCACACCCTCCTCCACCTTTCTTGCTGAAAAACATCATATTTTCTTTTCTGGAGTGCTATTGCTCAGATCATGTACACCTACTCCTCTCATCCTGTGAGTGTGCCCACGTCACTACCCGCCACAGCACCTGGGTTCAGCAGCGGCGGCCCTCAGCAGTGCCCCCACAAGCTTTGCTGACACCCACTCCACCCAGACCTTGGACCTCAGCTTTTCTAGTTTCCCATTGGAAACGGGAGCCACTCCTGCACTCCTCCAAGCCTGGCCTCCGCAGAGCGCCCGGATGCCACCTTTATTAATTCCTCATCCTAATTAGGATTGATGCTGCACTTAGCATCTTGCCAGCTGCCTCAGGCCCGTTTGCACTCACTGTTCATCAAGAGAGCCCCAAGCTGATCTGGGCAGCTGGCTCTGCTGACAGAGGAGGGGGGGGTGGAACATTGCCATCTGGGGAACTTCACCGAAAGGACTGTGCTGCCTCTGTCATCCCCTCAAGTGCGAGGTTTCCGAGGGCCACACCAGGCCGAATCCGAGGGTCAAAATGGCCCTCTGGGACCCAGGGCTGGAGATGCTCCTGTAAGATTCCTTGTGGCTGCTAGAATCATCTTGGCAATTTCTCCACTGAGTGGGAACCGCCAACTTATGAGAGACATACCATAGCAGGCCCACAGCTCCAGCCCTCTGACACCACCTGAGATGCTGGCACTGACCAGCAGGTGGTCAGGGCAGAGTCCCTGCCAGCACATTAACCTCAGGCCAGCACCCTGGGAGTGCTGGGAGTGGAGAGTCACCTCAACATTGACTTCTGTGTGCAAAATGCATTCCTTCCACCTGTGTCTAGGAAAGTGCTTCCCCAACAGCGCACCTGAACCAAAATGGGGGAAAAGCAAAACAGTTGAAAATGTCAAACTTCTGTGCAGAGGCTGAAGAAGTCCCACAGCACGAGGAGTGCTGAGTGTCAGGGAGGGGTCCCTGACAACTTGCAAACAGCTGATTGCATTTTCTGTCTGTTCCCCAAAGCAGTGGTTGCCAGTCTGCAGGCACCCAGCTCCTGTGTGTACTGAAGCCTTCCCACAGTCTGTCAGGGCTGCATGTGAAAGCTGGGGCGCCCCTTTCACCAGTGCTTGGGAGTACAGCTGCCTCTTTCTGCCCCTCAAAAACAGGGCCCTACTCTGCAGCTGCAAGTGTCAGAATGGCCAAGTGCTATCTCTACCTGCATGGTGCAAAAGAGGAAACTGAGGCTTAGGTATGGCAAGGGTCACGCGCAGAGGGGCATCATTAGGAGAGGGCAGGGTGAGATTTGAACCTTTGTCCCACTACACAGCTCTTCCCACTCAGACCTGCCCTTCACAACAGCTTCTGGGTTGCCATTAAAAATAGAACCAAGTACTGAACTGCCCAGCCGAGCCCAGCTCTGAGCATCAAGGCAGTTGGGAGCCAGGTTGTGCAGCTGACAGGCACATTGCATAACACATTCTTTCTCGCTTTCTGCTCTTCCACTGTGGTCTAGGGCGGGCATGTCCCCAACCCCTTCAGCTATGTGCCCCTGCACACTCAGTATTCCACCTTATCCAACTCTTTAGTGACACATAGCACTAGGCTGGGGACAAAGGGAAGGACTCATACATCTTTGTGGCCATGAAATCAAAGGCATTGTAACAAATGCGAATCTTCAAACTTGAGTCCCAAGTGCGTTCAGGAATTCGGTGAAGTAGGGATTGGAAACAAGCAAGAACGGTGTGCAAAGGTTGAAAGACCAAGTGAAAGAGAAGAAGAGGAGGCTCTGGGCCCCGAGATTGGTGGCTGGGGCCCCTGGGAGCCACATCTTGTACAGTCACTGTTTGGGCACCCCGAGGGCCCTGGCCCCAGAATAATAATCACAGGAAATCTGGTGGCCTGCTGGTAAGGAGCTGGACTGCCAACCCAAAGATTAGGGGTTCAAATCCACCAGCTGCTCTGTAGGAGTAAGATGAGTAATCTCCTCCCCACGATTAATGCCTCTAAAAATCCACTGCAGGGACCCCTAATTTTGACTTGATGGCACAAAACAAGAACAGCACTGAGTCAACTCCCAACTCATGGTGACCCTATGAGATGGGGTGGACCTACCCATTGGGCTTCCTAGGCTGTGAATCTTTATGAGGACAGGCTATCTCATCTTTCTCAGAGCAGCTAGTGGGTTTGAACCCGTGACCTTTTCTATTTTTTTTTTTTTTTTTTTGGTTAGCAGCAGGATTCTTTAACCCCCTGTGCCACCTGAGCTTGTTGTCATTGTTATGTGCTGTCGAGTCGCTTGTGATTCATAGCGACCCTGTGTACAACAGCCCTAAACCCTGCTCTATCCTGTGCCAGTTGCGCTGTCTCTGACACACCCACCCTGATTACCCCAGTCACTGAATCAATCCACCTCATAGAGGGCCTTTCCCTCCTGCGCTGTCCCTCCGCCCTCCCAAGCATGATGGCCCTCTCCAAGGACTGGTCCCTCCTTACAACATGTCCAAAGTATGTCAGACGAAGCCCCAGAATCCTTGCCTCCAAGGAGCAGCCTGATTTAATCTTCTCTAGGATAATCTGTTTGTTTTCTTGGCAGTCCATGGTACATTCAGTACTCTTCTCCAGCACCACAGCTCAAAGGCATCAATTCTTCTTCTGTCCTTTCTAGTCACTGTCCAGCTCTCTGATGCATAACAAGTGATTGCAAAGACCATAGCCTGTATCAGATGCACCTTAGTCTCTAGAGTGACACTATTGCTCTTCAGTACCCTGGAGAGGTCCCTAACAGCAGACTTTACCATCGCAGTATGTTTTTTTTACTTCCTGGCTACTGGTGCCAAGAGTGTTGACCGTGGAGCCTCACAGACTAAAGTTAGCTTTAAGCTGAACTTAGCCAAGATTAAAGGGTCCTGGAAAATCCCAACCTCACGCACCACCCACATCATCTGTGGTAGTTTCCGGCACATTCACAGAGGTCAGCAGAGCCTTGCATTGCCAGCCTCAGTCAGCATCACGGTGTCCCAAGGCCTGTTGCATGCCCAGATCTATGCTGGGCACTAGCAGAAGGAAGCCATGTGAAGGGGCTTTGTACCAGTCATGTTCACCTTTTTTACCAAGGCAGCTGCCCCCTGACCAGTGTCTCTACCATTAGTCACACCTCAGCACAGAGCATAAGAAAATACTAGGATAGCTCAGCCAGAGAGGGAGCTCTGGTGGCTTAGTGATAACAAGTAGCACTGCCATCCCAAAGGTTCTCAGTTCAAATCCACCAGCTTCTCCATGGGAAAAGGTTAGGCATTCTATTCCTGTGCAGTTTACTGCCTGTGAAAACTCACTGGAGGGTTGGTTCCAACTTGACAGCACATAACTATATATAACCAGTCGCTATCCCG